TTTGTATAAGAAATAAAAAAAAAAATAGTTTCCTGGGGGTGTGGGAGATGGCTCGGTGGATGAAGCACTTACTCCAGAAGCATTAGGAGCAGGGTTGGGACCCTCAGCACCCACATAAAAGCTGAGCTGGCAGGGAGGATCCCCAGTACCCACATAAAAGCTGAGCTGGCAGGGAGGACCCCCAGCACCCACATAAAAGCTGAGCTGGCAGGGAGGATCCCCAGTACCCACATAAAAGCTGGGTGGACATGGAGCCTGCCTGTAATCCCAGCTCTCTGGAAGCAGAGACTGAATCCCAGGAGCATGACGGCTACCTAGAGCCACCCCGTGGGCCATGACCCCTCTGGGGATCGAACGACCCTTTCACAGGGGTCACCTAAGACCATTGGAAAACAATTATTTACATTACAATTCGTAACAGTAGCAACATCACAGTTATGAAGTAGCAATGAAAATAACTTTATGGTTGGGGGGTCACCACAACATGAGGGACTGTATTAAAGGGTCGCAGCATCGGGAAGGTTGAGAACCTCTGCACCAGCAGAAGAAAACAGGCTTAATTAAGGTAGGAGGGTGCTTGTCACATCTGAGGAAATTAAGAAGACCAGTGTGGATGGAATAGATGGAGTGAGGAGCGGCAGGGTAGGAAACGTGGTTTAAAATAGCGAGGGTAGGGGCTTGAGGACATGGTTCAATGGTGAACCACCTGCATGTGACAGTCCCCGGGTTAAATCTCCAGCATTGAGGAAAACCATCCAACCAACCAACCAACCAGGGGCCTGGTTATGAGCATGCCAGACACATTTGTAGGCGAGTTGATGCCTTTGGACTTTAAATGTGGTGGGAAGTCACCTGACATTTCCAAGCAAAGGAGCAAAATAGTGAGGTTCCTTCTGCTCTGAAGAGCACAGGAGAGAGGTGGTGGAGGCAGCAGGCAGAATGTACCAATGGGAAAGCCAGGAAGAAGAGGAGGAGCCAGAGTCGGGAAATGGTCTGAAGGTGGAAATGGCAAGAATTGCTAATGGGATGAGTATGGGGCAGCTTGAGCCAAAAGATTTTGGGGTTTGGTATAGGAATGAGACACCTAGACAGGATTAAGTTTCGGGGGAAATATCGGTAGTTCACTATTAGATTCTGGAGCTATGGTTGACTTTCAAGTCCTTGTGATCCATGGCCTCTAATAGTGACAAATGATGTTAGGTTTTACAGGAACATCTGTAAGCAGAAGTCACGGGGTAGGAAACAGAAGAAATAAACCTGTTCCCAAGCAAGTCCCAGACAGGCAAGGGATTAAAATGGACCTGCCACTGAGCCTGTCTCATAGACACCATGATTTCAGGGCAAGAGGGGTCTTCTTTCTTCCAAAATGTTTTCCCAATTTTTGAGTTATTTTGCTGTGATGATGTTATATTGTTTGTACAAAAAGTGGGTTTCATGACGGCATTTCCATAAACATATATAGTGTGTCCTAATTTGCTTTCTATTGATTTGATAAATACCATGGCCAAAAGAAACTTAGAGAGAAAAGGGTTTCTTTCATCTTCCAGCTTACAGTCTGTCATGAAAGGAAGCGGAGACCCGGAGGCAGACTGAAGCAGAGGACACAGAAGAATGCTGCTTACTGGCTTGGTCCCTTGGTATGCTCAGTGTGCTTTCGTACACATCTCAGGCCCACCTTCCTAGGGAGGGGATCCTGGGCCCTCTTAAATCCATTATTAATTAAGAAATGACCCATTGGCTGGGTGGTGGTGGCGGCGGCGGCGGCGGCGGCGGCGGCAGCAGCAGCAGCAGCAGCAGCGCACGCCTTTAATCCCAGCATTCAAGAGGCAAAGCCAGGCAGATCTCTGTGAGCTCGAGGCCAGCTTGGTCTACAGAGTGAGATCCAGGACAGGCACCAAAGCTCCACACATAAACCCTGTCTCAAAAAACAAAACAAAACAAAATAAAACAAAACAACAAAAACAACAAAAACAAACAAACAAACAAACAAACAAACAAACAAACAAAAGACCCATAGATATGTCCAGAGGCTCATACGATGTGGGAAACTCCGAAAATGAGGTTCCCCCTTTCCCAGGTGACTCTGGCTCATGCCAAACTGATGAAAACTAAGCAGTACAGCGTGTGTGGATTACGTTAGGTTCATGCCCTCTCCTATTCCCCTTTCTCCCCAGGATTCTCCTTTCTACCGTTCTACCGTCATTTCCCCTTTCTTCCTTCAGAATTTCTGAATTTAAATAACATTTATTCCACAACTAGAGAACTAAATCTTGAGAGATGATTCAGAGTTTTGGTCAAAGTGTAATGGAGCACAGGAAGGTCCTGTGTGTTTAAAAGGAGGAACACACCTTGGCAGTATTAAGAGAAAGGAGGTGGATACCACAAAGATTTCACACACTTTCTGGGATCCACCCTCTATATCTTAATGTCTTAGTGAGAAAACAGAAAGGATTGCTGGTGTTTAGAAGAATCCTCCAGGTTTCTCCCAAGCGGAGAAACTTTTCAAGTCTTTCTATTTTTCAACTCTTAGGAGTGCTGTCCATGTGGAAGGTCTACATGGCAGGGGTTGTCGCCTCTGTATCAGGGACACAGAGAATGTTGGGTAACTATACAAGTCTCCATTTGATGTTCGGGGCATCCTGGGGAAAGCTGCAACATTTAACCCTAGCCTTTTTTGTGATATATTCTTTTTTTTTTTCTTCTTCTGATCACCAGTCATGTATACTTTTTGCAGGGTGCTTAAAAGATCCAAAAACTCTTAAAAGTCTTACTAAATAGATGAACACTGCAACAATATTTTGGCACCCTTCCCTCCCAGTGTAAGCATTTTATTCTTCCAAAATTGAGCTCTGTAATACATGAGCACCTTCATGTCCTGCTCTTACCCTTAATGTCATGATGTACTTTTATCTGATGCGTATGGCTAACTCATCACATTCAGCTTCACAAGGATTTCCTTGAGGTAATTTCAGATTACCTACAATCACCAATACTAGGTGGTAAACATTTCTTTACAAATATTTCCAAGAAAGTGGCAGATTAAGGATGTTTTTTTAAGCATCCTGGTGTACTCTGTTGTATCATTTCCCATACGGTTGTTATTGAGGGGGTGGTGATGGGGAGACTGCTGATTTTGGATAACATGTGACCATGCTGTTTGGGTCAGGGAAAAAGCCTTCCTGGCAAGGGTCTCTCTTAAAGTATTAGAACCCTTACACCTGTCTTTCCACATCACAAATATTTCTGGGTCATGAGAAGGAAGAATAAAAGGAAGGACTGAGAGAAATTTGAGTTAGAAGTTGTGTCTTACGTAACTTACATGTCAGAAATGGCCAACTTGGAAACCGAGTTTATCAACCTGCTTAGGATCCTAGCATTTTAATCATTCAGGATATGAATTTTGATTGCAAAATATCACACTTACTGTACATGACTCCATGCTCTTTAATGGGAAGTCCACCCTAACTGCTGTTCTTAATCCAGTCCTTAAAATACAATGGGACTGATCAGAAAACCCCAGAATCTAGTGTATTGTTAAGTATTATTTTGTGAAACGTGTGTGTGTGTGTGTGTGTGTGTGTGTGTGTGTGTGTGTACACTATAAGACTTATTGTTCGGTGTGAGAGGCAGTTAAAGACGTAGTTTGAAGTTAGAGGTACAATAGAAAGACTCTAGGTATTGGAATCTGCAAGGCTTTGGCTTGAATTTGTATTGTGTAACTCTTGCTAGTCATCTACTGTCTTTCTGGCTTAATCTACCTATTGCGTAGAGTAGACATCTTGCTGGTGTGTGTGTGTGTGTGTGTGTGTGTGTGTGTGTGTGTGTGTGTATCTTTCCTTAAGCAGTGTCCTCCATGTAAAATTATTTCACTGACGGGACTCTTAGCCGGAATTCCACTATAACCGCGCCAGTTTTGCTGAGTGAGGAGCATTGAGCACAGTTCTTTCTCCTTCCTGTTCTCACATTGCACAGGTTTTTGTTATAAAGGCTGGCACAGTACCCCTGCCGAATACTGGCTAATTATTTCACTGTTCAGTTAGTATTACAAACTTTCAAATCTCTTCCGGTTCTTAACAACAACCAAGTGCCAGGCTGGTGGCAGGGGGCCAGACGACAATCTGTTGAGTTTGGTCTACCAGAACATCTTTTGCAGTCGTCTCTTGTCATGTCCAGGGAAGCAGATGCGATGCCGATTCTACCAGCATTTCTCACTCAATCTCCTCCATGCTAAACAGGCCAGTTAGGCATTAAGTCATGTCTCTGGGTAGCTTAAGTGGAAAGTGTGAACAGAGAAACCACTTTATGTGAGGACAGCCGAAAATTAGATCCCTTCCCCTCCCCACTCCTCTTCCCCCAGGGGAGGAGGCACTTATCAGCCAAGAGCTCGGTGCCCGAACCGTGCAGCGTCCTGAGCTCCAGAGGTTTGCCAGCACGCACGATCTGCGGCGCCGAGAGCCCTTCTCCCCAGATGAATTCTCATAGTATCACAGACGCGCGCAGTCCGGATCGATACTGGATGGCAGACGTGCTCCCGCCGTCAAGTGTAGGCACAGGGCGGTGGATTTCGCCGCCCCGCAGTTCGCTCGCTGCTTCTTCTCATCAGCTCAGTCCTGACCGAGGACGGTTAACCCGTTCCCGCACCGACTCCCGCCCTGTCGCGGCGGCCGTCCCTCCACGGTCCTCCCCGCGGCGGCCGAGCCTTTCAGTCCGACGCCCCGGGGCGCGGGCTCGGTCGGCTCCCCGCGCCTGGCGGGCTGGTGGCGCCCGGTTCTCCAGCGCGCGGTCCCTGGAGGCTGGACAGGGCGCTCCGAGCCCCTCGCGCCCGCTCGTCTTCCCGCGTCTCGGTCCCGGTGCCCCGGTGGGCGAAGGCCCCGCCCCGGGACCCGCTCCCACTCCTGATTGGCCGGCGCAGCTCGAGGGGCCCAGCCCGGCCCGGCCCGGCGTCTCAGCTATAAAGCCGGTAGCCGCATGCCCGGCCCGGCCCAGCCCGCCTAGCTCCGGGGCTCGCCCGCGCACCCGACCCACCATGCCGAGGGGCTTCCTGGTGAAGCGAACCAAGCGCTCGGGCAGCTCCTACCGCTCGCGCCCGGCCGAACCGCTTTTCCCGCCGCCGGGTCCCCGCGCTGCTGCACCGCCCTCGCCCGACGAGCCCGGCCGGGGACTGTCGGGGTCCCCTTGCCTCGCGCCCGCG